CACGCACAAAGGCCTCTCTGTCACCCTTACTTCCTGACAGTTGGGCTGGAAATTTTGTATAAAATTTGGTAAGCGGAATGTTTACGTTTTAATTTAAATTGTATTTAATTTGCTTTTAACTTAGAGTTTGTTTCGTCCCGCTGTTACGGGTGCTACCAGTGTTTACAGTTTGTTTTGTATTTTTCATTTTCATAAAAACGGTTTTTCTTTTTCTCAAGTGACTTCACGAGTTCTCAACCGCCAAAAAGGCAACACACCCACCGTTTTTAAAGTTCTATGTTTCAGGCAGTAATATTTTGTATAAGTTTTTTTTTATATTGTGAATCTGATAGTTTAATTTTAGTTATAAAATACGGTGCTATTATTACTAGTCCACCGCACTATAATCAGTTGTGTTCTGCCTCTTGATATACAACGACCGCACGCTTTGTCTCCTTTCACCGCAGCATCAGTGGACAGTACTTAGGTCTTTCTCCCACAACCGCAACGCTTCATCGCATCTGTATAAACTGCTCCAAATGAATATTTGTAATTTATTCTTGTTTTATTAATTTTAATTAAATGAATCGATATAGTCTTGTTAGTTGGATAAAACAAAATAGAAAATACAAACCAAAAACAATCAAACGTTAATCCATAATTTTTAATAACCACTAATTTCGTGGTCCGCTTGACCAATTAATACATTAGAATTAATTAAGGTTTTTAGTTGAGTTAAAAAAGTCAATGGCTCGAGCGGGATTCGAACCCACGATCTTCGGCTTGATATGCCGCTGCTCTACCACTTGAGCTATCGTGACCTCGATCCTCTCTTATAATATATAATCCGTTCAGTATCGAGTTATCATTGTTTAATTATTTTAATTGAAGCAAAGTCGGGAAATCATAAAATATCAGAAAAAGGGGAGTAACTCCGAAAATTTTGGGATTAGGACCATAGTTAATTAGGACTTTTTGGTTGTATTTTGAATGTAGGATCTGCTGGCAAAGTTTGTAACACTGGTTATGGGCATCTGCTTGTTGATAAATAAATAAATACTGCGCAGCAATGTAGGATCGATTGAACTTCCTTAGAATTCCTCTTTAAAAGGGACAACAGGGCGAATTTGGCGTCGTTGGTTTATTTGAGCTGATTTTCAGCCGTGTCGTTCACCCATTTCACAACGGTATCTGCATACCGAGGAGCCACTATCCGATGGAAGGGTCCGGAAATTAAAAATGTCACTCCCGGTTATCTGAAGACGTCCGAAGGGAGGCATTTTCGATTTTGTCCAACTCTCTAATTGATTCTCCACGGCGGGAAAATAAACGCTCCCGGATCGTCCATCCCGAGCGCGCAACAGGTCCTTTTGTTTGGTCAATGAAAAGCCGGGCTTTTATTGAATTAAGGCCGGCCCAAGTTCGGCCTAATGCCACCGGTATGTAAATCCTTTCAACGCGTTGCTCAACTCCTTCGATAAATAAAATCAGTGCAACACAGCCTTCAGTGGGACAAAGACAACTTTCAACAGGCGGTCTGTTTGCTCTGCCCTGCCCTCATCGAATCTGTATCAAGGCTTTTATACGGTCTTTAACTCAAATCGTACCTAACTTGACAACAATTGACGCAAAATATTCAATTATAATACAACAGGGACAAAAAAAGCAAAGATTTGTTGTCTTGTGCTGACAAATTTCTTGTAAAGAAAGTGATATTTTTACTACCTTAATCTTAAGCTACTACCAACCAACCATATAAATAAAACATCTTCCTCAAACAAACAATCATTTTCTCTACTTCTTAATTTACCAAAAAATAACGACAATATTTTTGTCCAATTACAAATATTTTAAATTTTATCCTTGACCCCATCAGGTTTATTATCCCTTAATACAATTATAATTTATTCTTGTTCAGTTTCGTTTTAACTTAGTAATATTAGAGATTTGTCAAATTGAGCTCTAATATTTTTAGGCCACAAAACCAGTAAATGCCGACCTTGGTAAAAAAAGCACCAGCACAAATAATTAAAAAAATCTCAGCTTTTTTCTTATTTTTACACTTGTTAATAACGCTGTTGTCCCTAAAAATGTAAAGCCCTGAACACTTCCTTCATCGCCTGCCCTTTTTTTCCTCCTAGTATTTTAGGATTCGTTTTGAATATAAATTAATTTATTATAATTTTTTTACCACCCCACGCACTACGATATAACAGGATAGTGTGGGTTTCTTCATTTATACTTCTCATGCTAATTCCTAATTTTTTAAAAATTATTATTAACTTTATTAATAGGATGACCTAAAATTATCCTCGAATTGGTTTATGATATACACAAACGAGATGAATCTTAAGTAAACAGGGCATATATTATTATAAAAATAATAGAAAGATTGATGTCGGTGTTATTGTTATGAGACAGGTCTTGCCTCGCCCTGTTTATAGCCCTGGCGTCGTTTGACAATACTACTAGCTTATCGCATCAAGTTTTAAAGGCAAAAAATAGACGAAGTAGAACTGCGGTGCAACAAAAAAACCTATTTTGTTTGACATGGAAAAAGAGAGCATTTACTCGCCCTGTTTATATCCTTGATGTATATCCGTTTGGCTATATTCAGCCAGAAGCAGATACGTATTGGAATTTTCCGTGCATCATTTGAATTTGGAAAATAAAGAAGACACGGCTGACTCGACCGGTTTATACCCTGATGTTGAGAATTCTGACTATACACAACTTGATGAAAGATGTAAACTTTTTAAAACAAAGTACTACGTCGTGAATTTTCCTGTACTTTATTTGAATTTAAAAAGAAAGTAGATACTCTTAACTCAACCTGTTTATTACTCGGTTAAGCCATGTGATTCAGATTAGCGACTACGTTTTGATCAAAAGGATTTCTTTATAGCTCTATTGCTGCAACAAGATAGCTTTCCTGCACATAATTTTTTTTTGCATCTAAGCATTCACCCTTGACTCGGCCTGATTATTTCCCTGATGTTGAACCTTGAGACTTTCCTCAGCCTGCGACAGAATGCAAATTTTAAAAGGAAATTCTTAAACTTCGGACTCTTCTGTCACCACCTGCGCGAATATTGTTTGATAAGAGAGATGACATCCTCGACTCGCCCTGTTTAAAACCCTAACGTTGAGCCAACTGACTCAATTGCAGAATGCGATCTTTGAAAAGCGAAATATGGAACTGGTGCTGTCACCAGAAAACCCACTTGCACCAATTTTTTTTTATATGAAAGGAGACATCCTCGACTCGCCCTGTTTATATCCCTAACGTTGAGCCAACTAACTCACTTGCAGTATGCCATTTTTGAAAAGCGAAAAACTACAACAGGAAATATTGGAACAGGTGCTGTCACCACAAACCCCTCCTGCACCTATTTTTTTTTAATGGAAACATCCTCGACTCGCCCTGTTTATACCCCTGACGTTGGGCCTTTAGACTTTAGTTAGCTTAGCTTGTGATTTTTTAAAAGTATAATGCTAAGCTCGTCCAGTTTATATTTCTGGTATGGAGCGTTCCGATTATACACAGCTTGAGAAAATATCTGGTTTGGTTAAAGCAAAGTACTACGTTTTGAACTCTCCTGTTTCTTATTTGATTTTATCTCGACCTGTTTATATCCCTAACGTTGAGTCAACTGACTCAACTTGTAGCAGTATGCGATCTTAGATAAGCGAAATATTACAACAGAAAATATTGGAACAGGTGCTGTTATCAGCTGCGCGAATTTTGTTTGAAAGGAGAGGAGACTTCCTCGACTCGCCCTGTTTATATCCATAACGTTAAGCCAACTGACTCAACTTGTAGCAGTATGCGATCTTAGATAAGCGAAATATTACAACAGAAAATATTGGAACAGGTGCTGTCATCAGCTGCGCGAATTTTGTTTGAAAGGAGAATAGTCATCCTCGACTCGCCCTGTTTACATCCCTAACGTTGAGCCAACTGACTCAATTGCAGTATGCGATCTTTGAAAAGCGAAATACTACAGCAGGAAAAATTGGAACAGGTGCTGTCACTACCTGCGCAAATTTTGTTTGACAAGACAGGAGATATCCTCGACTCGCCCTGTTTATATCCCTGTCGTTAAGCCAACTGACTCAACTTGCTGCAGTATGCGATCTTTGAAAAGCGAAATACTACTGCTGTCATCACGAAATCATCCTGGGCGAATTTCGTTTGACATGAAAGAAAACATCCTTGACTCGCCCTGTTTATATCCTTAATGTTGGGCCTTAGACTTTAGTCAGTTTTTACAGCATGTGGTTATTTAAAAGCAAGTATTGAGCGTTCTCATTTTACATAGCTTGAGGAAATATGTGGTTTGCTTAAAACAAAGTACTATGTTTTGAACTCTCCTGTTTCTTATTTGATTTTATCTCGACCTGCTTATAACCCTAACGTTGAGCCAACCGACTCATTTGCAGTATGCGATCTTTGAAAAGCAAAATACTACATCAGCAAATATTGAAACAGGTGCTGTCACCACAAAATCCTTCTGCGCGAATTTTGTTTGAAACGAGACATCCTTGAATCGCCCTTCTTATGACCTTGACGTTGGGCCATTACATTTTAGTCAGGTTATTTCAGCATGTAGTTATTTAAAAACAAGTATTGAGCGTTCTAACTGTACACAGCTTGAGGAAATAGGTGGATTGTTTAAAGCAAAATTTACGTTTTGAACTCACACATTTCTTATTTGATTTTATCTCGACCTGTTTATATCCCTAACGTTGAGCCAACTGACTCAGCATGACAACGTTTTTTCTTATAGCAAGATTGACAGTTGCTTTAAGTTTTTCTTCCTTTGGTGAAATTCTGTATCCATTCTTGGAAGGAAATTGCATTAATTTTAATTTAACATTCAGTGCTGACTGCATTAATAATTTCATGAATATGCCAGTTGAAATATAATAACGATTAGCATGCCGTTGATATCTCAGGTGATATAATTGCCATGGAGGGTTCATAAAGTGAAAATTACTTTCACTGCCTCCTGCCAAAAGTCATTTTGTGAATTCAGCCCACACCGAAAGTGTCATCGGACGGGTATAAAGCCGAATTTCAAGCTCGGAACCTTTCAATCGACTCCTTGACCGCCATGAAGTCCCTCGTAAGTCCAGCCGTGAACTGGGTCCGTTTCGAACTTTAAACCGGTTGTCTATTTTTCAGATCTTCCTGACCTGCATGGTGTACGCCTCGGCTCAGCTGGTCCACTTCAGGCCGCATGCAGTCCCTCCGCATGTGCACAGTTTCAACACGTACAGGGCCGTACCGCCTTACTTCCTCGTACCGCCTCCTCCTGCAGTACGTGCAGTCCCGCCAGCAGTTCCTGCAGCAGTCCTACCGGCGGTTCCTCCGGCAATCGGTCCTGTCTATACGCCTGCGGTTCCTCCAGTTCTTCCTCCAGCTCCGGTCCCAGTATGACTAAAAACCTAGCAAAATTTCTATCTTAAATAATAAATTAAATAAAATTATTTTCTCCCTATGCGTTTTTTCCTAAAAATTTCTGTTAAATTTCAAATATGAATGAAAATCAATCAGAAGCCAGATAGTTTTACAAGCCTAAGTTAAAGAGCCAAAACTGATTTAACAGCGAACAACAAGAACCAGTGAAGCAAGTGAGTGTAAAGATTAAAAAACCCACTAAAATTCTTTAAGTAATCAAAAAATACCGTATCTCATTGTAACACCTTTATTATATATTTTCATTGAAATGGATTAACTTTACAATTTTTTTGAGTGTATAAAATTGAATCGGTCATCTACTGAACCATTGACGTGCTTCGTAAAGTCCTAACAAACGTGACATATTTATTTCTTGTACAGTAAATACTGAAGTGATAAACTTTGTGAAGAATGTCAGCCTTTGAGTCAGGAATGTAAAGCGTCTCTATAAAAATGATGTATAACATCTCATCGTGCTTTATTAAATTGGGCTGATAGTTGAGCATATTTATTGTTTAATATGTAGCCGAAGTTTTGTCATTTAGCTTTTGAGGGAGACGTCTCAAATGTTCAAACGCTTCTTGGTATTCATACAAATTTCAGAAACACATTTCATTCGCTGTTCATCACTTCTTTTGCTCTGTCTCTCTCTACTTCTCATATCTTCTTCTTTCTCTCAAACTCTCTCACTCTTTCTCATTTACTCTCATTATCTATGTATGTATCCCTGTCTGTTCTTCTATTTCTTGCTCCACATATTGTGTTTGAGGTTTATGAGGTTTTCCCTATACGCATCTTTCTATGTGCTATCTTATAATCATTCTTTCCCTCTCTATATTTCCTCTCTCTCCTTCTTTCTTGCTACTTTACTTTTATCACACTCTCTACTCTTATCCTTGCTTTTCCTTTCTTTTTATTTCTAAACTCTCTTTTTCGCTAAAGATCCTTGGATATCTATCTTTTCTCGTTCTCCATTTGTTTTGTCTCTCTCCCTCACTCTCTCTACCTTTATCCTTGCTTTTATTTTTTTTAATTTCTGAATCAATTTTCTTTTGGTCCCAGGATATCTATTCACTCGTTTTCCATTTGCTTTCTCTCTCTCTCTCTCTCTCTCTCTCTATCTATCTCCTTCTCTTTTCCTTTCAATATCCTTTTCTGCCTTTGTTTCTGCTTACCTTCTAGTTTTTTTTCGTTGTAGATTTCTGCCTATTTACCTTTCCGTTTCGTCATTTGCTCTCTCTCTCTCACTCTCCCTCTCTTTCTATTTTTTCTTTTTTTTCTATCACTTTCTTTTTATTTCTCTCTCTTTCCCTCTCGTTCTCCCTCTCTCCCTTTCCTTCCTTTTTCCTTTCACTCTCCTATTCTACCTTTATTTCTGCTTGTCTTTTAAATTTCTTTTTCGTTGTAGATTTCTGCCTATCTAACTTTTCTCTCTTTGTCTCTTTTTCTTATTCTCTCTCTTTTTTCTCTTGTCCTTTCACTCTCCTTTTCTACCTTTACCTCTGCTTCTATTAAAAAAATCTTTTTCGTTGTAGATTTCTGGCTATCTATTTTTTTTCTCTTTCTCTCTTTTTCTTTTTCCTCTCTTTTTTCTCATTTCCTTTCACTTTCCTTTTCTACCTTTATCCCTGCTTGTCTTCTAAATATCTTTTTCGTTGTAGATTTCTGCCTATCTAACTTTTCACTTTTTTCTTTTTCTCTCTCTTTTTTCTCTTGTCCTTTCACTCTCCTTTTCTACCTTTAGCTCTGCTTCTCTTCAAAAAATCTTTTTCGTTGTAGATTTCTGCCTATCTACCTTTTCTCTTCTCCATTTGTTCTCTCCCTCTCTCTTTCTTCTTTTTACTCTCTCTCTTTCTTTTTATTTCTCTCTCTCTCTCAAACACACACACACGCACAAACTTAAGTGTGTATACGTGCGTATCTGAGTACTGCAACCTCAGGATTTATAATCCCATGTTAGTAAATCTTCTAGCCTTTCTCTCTCTGTTTAATTATTCCTTCGCTCTTTTCATAATATGTAATTTGCAGTAGTCAAGATGGGACTGCGGTTGGGTAGGCAAGGGGAAAAGATTTTTTCAATTTCGATAGCCGTTCCTCGAAACGAGGCACGTAACCGAGTAAATCGGCTGTTAATCACCCGACGATCCTCGTCTTCCAATCTGCCGCCCTGGTCGTCGGATCCACGAAAGTGGGTGAAGGCCTCGGAGATTGTTATAAGCGGGCCCGAATGGAAAACAGTTACGCAACGGGTGCGTTCACCTCACAGATACGAATCACAATAAGTGGCCGGTCTTTCCTCGATCGTTTGAAATTTCAGAATTTCCATTAGACAATGAAACGCCCCAAAAATAGACACGAGAGGCCTTAGGGCTTAGAACAATAGATACAAACCGATACAAAGCGGACCGTACAATGAATAGGATAAAGCCTCCTTTGATTAGAGTCTCAATGAAATATGTGACTTGATTCTGAAACCAAATAGAATCGAATTCTAACCTTGATGTCGGCTCATTCGAGGGCTGGCTCCTACAAGGTACCTTCACGCCACAAAAACTAAAACTTGGATACTTCAAAACTTGCCTGCACCAAAATAAGGAACAGTAGTACCAGAAAGAGGAGAGATAGAACTACCAGTCAATGCTGACGCAATATTTTAGCTACATCAGAAACCAATATAATTTTTAAACAAGTCTACAAAAAATCTTTTTCGTTGTAGATTTCTGGCTATCTATCTTTTCTCTCTTTCTCTCTTTTTCTTTTTCTCTCTCTTTTTTCTCTTGTCTTTTCACACTCCTTTTCTACCTTTATCCCTGCTTGCCTTCTAAATATCTTTTTCGTTGTAGATTTCTGCCTATCTTTCTCTCTCTCTCTCTTCCTCTCCCTTTACTTCCTTTTGCCTTTCACTCTCCTTTTCTACCGTTACCTCTGCTTGTCTTCAAAAAATCTTTTTCGTTGTAGATTTCTGGCTATCTATCTTTTCTCTCTTTCTCTCTTTTTCTTTTTCTCTCTCTCTTTTTTCTCTTTTCCTTTCACTCTTCTTTTCTGCCTTTATTTCTGCTTTCCTTCTAATTTTTTTCGTTGTAGATTTCTGCCTATCTATCTTTTCTCTCTTTTTATTTTTTTCTCTCTTTTTTCTCTTGTCTTTTCACTCTCCTTTTCTACCTTTATCCCTGCTTGTCTTCTAAATATCTTTTTCGTTGTAGATTTCTGCCTATCTCTCTCTCTCTTTCTCTCTCTCTTTACTTCCTTTTGCCTTTCACTCTCCTTTTCTACCTTTACCTCTGCTTGTCTTCAAAAAATCTTTTTCGTTGTAGATTTCTGGCTATCTATCTTTTCTCTCTTTTTCTCTTTTTCTTTTTCTCTCTCTCTTTTTTCTCTTTTCCTTTCACTCTTCTTTTCTGCCTTTATTTCTGCTTTCCATCTAATTTTTTTCGTCGTAGATTTCTGCCTATCTATGTTTTCTCTCCTCCATTGCTCTCTCTCTCTCTCTCTCTCTTTCTTTCTTCTTTTTCTATCACTTTCTTTTTATTTATTTCTCTTTCCCTCTCGTTCTCTCTCTCCTTCTATTTTTTTCACTCTCTTTTTCTACCTTTATTTCCGCTTGTCTTCTAAATTTCTTTTTCGTTGTAGATTTCTGCCTATCTACCTTTTCTCTTCTCCATTTGTTCTCTCCCTCTCTCTTTCTTCTTTTTACTCTCTCTCTTTCTCTCTCTCAAAATAATAATTTTTATATAATTTTTAAAAAAGTTCAATCAGGCTAATATAAACTGAGATAGTATAAAGAGAGAGACCTAATAAAAAGGGCAAGGGTGAAGACCCAGTGGAGGTTAACTGATGGACACAATAAAAACAGGCTGAATCCAGCAAATATGAAAAACAAAATCCAAATCCATGGATTTTATAAATACCCTGAAAGTACATAGTAAGCCTATGTGACGAAAAGTATATTGTCCTTGTACATGCATTTTACCTCAGCAACAATCATAGCTAAAACAGCTATTCCCAGCAAACATGATAAATCATAGTCAAATGTATGGAGGCTAATAAAAATCCTGATCCTAGATCGGCCTCTGGCCATGTCAGGTAGAAAAGAATATTGGAAGCAAACAGCTTTTTTGTCATCTCAGGATGAAAATCTTCTACCGTGCACAGTAAAGCTCAATTCGGCTAATATAAACTGAGTCATAGTAAAATTTGTAGTTGCTGAAATTGCTGAAGGTTGATAGTACGACCACACTATTAAAATAAGGGAAACGACAAGAAGGGTGTACAATAGATTGAGCGTAACAGCGAAAGTGGAATATGGACTTAGCACAAAAGCGCTCGCCACAATCTATAAAAGTGTCCTCCCAATAGTAAGTTATGGTGCAGCCGGATGGGCCAAACGACTACCTAGCAAAAGCAAAGCTATAATAGAGCAAAGCCAACGAATAGCTATTATAAGAACCACAAAAGGGTACAGGACGATTTCAACGCATGTCCTACAAGTAATAGCCAACGCACCGCCAATTGACCTAGTCCTTAAAGAAAGGGTGGTCATCCACCAAAAAAAGAAAAATGAGGCTATTGATATAGGAGCAAGCCAAGGAGAAATAGACTGGTTCCGAAGCACAACGGGGAAGGAGGCAAAAGAGTACTTGGGAAAAATGACAAGGGCATAACGGCAAGAAAGATGGACAAATAGCAATAAAGTTCGGCTAACATTCAAATTTTTCCCAAGCGTTGAAAAAAGACAAAGAAAAAAGACACCCCGACTACTGGACCACCCAAATGCTATCAGGACATGGAAACTTCGCAAGCTATCTTCATAAATATAAGAAAAGAGAAAGCCCTTTATGCTCTGTCTGCAGCACTGAAGAAGACGCCGAATATAAACTCTTCAGCTGTATCAAATTCAAGCCAGAAAGAGAACGTTTGCGAAAGACCACCACCTCAGCAGAATGGCCGCCTAATCTCCAAAAGCTAGTCTGTGATATCAAATCTTTTGGAGCACTAAAAGACTTTGCCT